GTCTGCCCATGAACTGAAGGGTCACTGGTTCAATTCCTGGTCAGGGCACACGCCTGGGTTGCGGGTACAGTATCCCATTAGGGCAGGCAACCAATCAATGCTTCTCTCTCATATTGTTGTTTCTCTCCCTATCTCCCTTTCTAAAAAAATTAATACATATTTTTTAAAGATAAATAAATAAAAATTTCAAATCTTCTAATCAATGAACATAGACTGTCTCTCCATATATTTAGATCTGCTTTTAGTCCAGCAATATTTTTCTAAATTTCAATGCACATGACTGTCTTGTACTTTTTATTATAAATTTATTCCAAAGTATTTTATTCTTTTTCATGCTGTTGTTAATGGAATTAGATTCTTCATTTCATTTTCAGGTTGTTCATTGCTAGTATGTAAAAATACAATTAATTTTCATATTTGATGTATCCTGCAACCTTGTTTATTAGTTGAATTTGTTTATTAGTTCTAGTAATATTTCTGTAGATTCTTTATGATTTTTTACATACAGAATCATGTCATCTGCAAATAAAGAAGATATTACTTCCTTCTTTTCTTTTCTTTTTTTTCTTTTTAAGATTTTATTTATTTATTTTAGACAGAGGAGAGTTGGGGAGAAAGAGAGGGAGAGAAACATCTATATGCAGTTGTATCTCCCTACTGCAGACCTGACCTGGCCCGCAACCCAGGCATATGCCCTGATAGGGAATCAAACTGGCAACCCTTTGATTTGCAGGCTGGCACTCAATCCACTGAGCCACACTGGCCAGGGTGCCTTCTTTCCTATCATCTTTTTTTCTCCTTTCTTTTATTTTCTACCTTCTTACTACATTGGCTAGAAATGAAAATGAAAATCCTTGCCTTATTCCTGCACTTAGTAGGAAGCTTTTTGCCTTTAAGTATGATATTAGTTGTAGGAATTTTGTAGATGCCCTTCATTCACCTGAGGGAGTCCCCTCTATTCCTAGTTTGTTGAGAGTTTTATTATGAATGGAAGTTGGATTTGTCAAATGCTTTTCTGCATCTACTGATATGATGTCGTTATTGTCTTTTATTCTACTGAGATGAGAGATTATACTATTTTCGAAGGTTAAATCAACCTTGCATCCATAGGATTAATCCCACTTGGTTATGGTATGCAATCCTTTTTTGTTACTAGACTTGGTTTTCTACTATTTTATTAAGGGTTTTTTTATCTATATTCATGATGGGCATTAGTCTCTTGCAATGTCTTTGTCTAGCTTTGGTATCATTGTAATTCTAGCATCAATTTTCTGACAAAGTATGTGAAGAATTGACATTATTTCTTTAAATATTTAATAGACTTCACCAGTTAAGCCATCCATACCAGGGTGTGTTTTTTTTGTGTGTGTGTGTTTTTTTTTTTTTTTTTGAGAGGTGAGGAAGATTCAATGACTATTTATTCTAGGTCTACCCAAAATTTCTATTTTTGAATTAATTTTAGTAAATTGTGTCTTCCTAGGAATTGGTCCATTTCATGTAAGTTGCCAGTCCTGTTGGTGTACAGTTGTTCGTAGTATTACCTAATAATCATTTAAATTTCTGTTATGTTGATATTGATATTCATCCCCTCTTTCATCCTTGATTTTGGTAATTTCTGTCCTCCCACTTTTTCCCTTGGCTGGTCTAGCTTAGTGGTTCTCATCTGGGGGTGATTTTATCCCTGAGGGGATATTTGGTAATATCTGGAGATATGTTTGGTTGTCACACCTCAGAGAGTGTTACCTGGCATGTAGTGGGTAAAAACCAGGGACCTTCCCACACATTCTAGAGTACACAGGGCAGTCTCCTACAACAAAGAATTATCTAGCCAAAAATGTCAGTATTGCTGAAGTTAAGAAACCATGGCTAGTTAAAGGCTTGTCAATTTTGTTGATCTTGAAGATCCAACATTTTCCTTCATATATTGTAGCATTTCCGGATTTTGATTATTTTTACCACTAAGGTGCTATTGTATTCCCTGTTTTGTTTGCTTGTTTGCTTGTTTAATAACTTGGCTGGACAAATCTATGGAATCTGTTTCCTGCTCTGTGTGTGACTGTTGATGTCTCCCCTCAGTTTTTAAAAAAATTCTTGTTTTTATTTTTAAGCCCAACTTTCTACAGATCACCCTTATATATGCATAGTTTAGTGAATGGTTAGTAGTTGTTTAGAGGTTATGCTCAAACACTTTAAGCCAATGGGCCCTCGACCTTCCTTCAATTGCGAAATCTGTGGTATTGTTTCTACAGTGCCTTCAAAATCTGGCAGATTTCAAGTCTTCTCCAGCTCTTACTTCCCATTGGGCCTTCTCATGTCTTATTTGTGCATGTGCTCAAGCTCATGGTCAGTTAGGGGTGATTAAATAACTTGGGCTCACTCCAGTCTTTACTCTCCACACCACTCCTCACAAGCATGTTTGAAGAGCTGGTCAAGGCCCTGTTTGGCTTTCTTACTGATTAGATTTCCTGTTAAATTTCTGGGTGGTTTGTGGGCCCATTGCTTGTCCCAATCAGGACCATAAACTCAGATTTGCTGAGCTGCTGGTCTTCCTAAATTTCCTTACTAATTCCAGTAGCTTCTTACTAAATCATATAGAATATTTTTGTATTCAAGCACATTAGAAAAATACATTTCATATCTAATTTAATATTTATAAAGATCACTTCATTTTCTTCTGATTGCAATTGCCAGAAGCTTCAAAACAATGGTGATGAATATGTAATAGTGGGAACCTGTTTTGTTCTCTATTTTAATGGAAATGAATATATCATTTCAACTTTTAAAATGATATACACTATGGGGTTTTTGATATTTAATATTTTAAAATCAAGGCAAATATGACCAGCAACACTGAAAGGAAAAGAAATCAACAGAGACAAGAGGGAAGGGGGGAGGAGGGGGAGGGGAAAGCAAGGAACAAAGAAGGACTCATGGACAAAACCAAAGGGGAAGAGCTGAGGGAGGGAAGGGGAGGGGGCAAGGGAAAGAGGGGGGAAGGCAGAGAAAATGATTTAAAAAGTAAATAAATTAATTAAAAATTAAAAAAAAAATAAATGGATCCTCATAGTCAAAAAAAATAAAAAATAAAAAAAAAATAAAATAAGTGACATTTATTGAGCACTTGCTTTGTAATGAAAAAAAAAATTTTAAAATCATTTTAATGGTTTATATTAGTTTTAAATTGGTATTTTTATTAGGTATGACTGTATAATTTTGTCAATAGTTTTCAGTATCTAGTAAACTAATTTTGTACTTTCTCCTTTAATGTATTGAAATATTTATTATGTAATAGATATTATTACATAGGTTAATTCTTCCATTCATACTCAGAATAAAACTTATTCTTATTGCTTTATTTTTTATTATTATTAGTTTTTTTATCCTCATTTGAGGATAATTTTTCATTGCTTTTTAGAGAGAGAGGAAGGGAGAGAAAGAAGCATTGATGTGAGAGAGAAACATTGACTGGTTGCCTCCCATACACTCCAGACCCAGGATTGTACACACCTGGACCAGGGATTGAATCCACAACCTAGATATGTGCCCTGCCCTGGAGTTGAACCCACAACTTTCATCTATGGGACGACACTACAACCACCTGAGCCACACTGGCCAGGGCATCCTTCTTGTTTTATTTTTGATTCACTGTTAGGTTTTCCTTAATATTATATTTCAAGTTTTGTATATTCATAAATTAGTTTAACCTGTAGTTTTCTTTATTAAACTATTTTTTAGTTTGACTATTTTATTTCTTTTTTTATTGTTATTCAATTACAGTTGTCCCCATTTTTCTCCCCTTACTCTCCCCTGCCCTCCCCACCCCTCACCTTCCACATTCAATCCGCCCCCCTCCACCCGACCATTGTCTTTGTCCATGGGTCCTTTATACATGTTGCTTGATCTCACCCCGTCTTTGTCCCCCTTCCCTCCTCCGCTGTGGTTATTGTCGGTTTGTACTTCATTTCCATGTCTCTGGTTCTATTTTGCTCGCCTGTTTGTTTTGTCTTCTTTAAACTATTTTAAAATTAAGTTTGAATATGAAGTTTATAATAGTTTAAAACTATGAATTTGAAGATTTTCAAAATTTTCTAAGATCAAAAACAATTTAATAATATTGGAATTAGCTGTTCTTTAAAAGTTGAATACAAGTAACTTTGAAATCATTTAATCTCATTATGTCCCTCCCCTTTTTGGTGGTCAATTCTGAATACATCCCCTATTTTTTATACTATTGTAAATAGCATTGAATTTTAGATCTCTAAGTTTCCTGACTTGCTTTGGAAAAACTATATTAATATCATTTAATATATCTTTCTTCCAAGGAATTCAAGTGGCATTATAGCAATTATACAGCTCAGAATATTAGAATATTAGAAATGTAAGGAACATTACAAATAATCTAATTCAACCTTTTCCTCTTATAAATGAGTTTACTTATACATTAATTCTTTAATAATTTAGTCTCAATTAAGAAGGAAGGTCATCAAGGAACATGTATAAAGGACCCATGGACAAAGACAATGGTAGGGAGAGGAGTGAATGTGAGAGGTAGGGGTCTGCAGGGTGGCGGGGGGGAAGTAATGGGAGGAAAATAGGGACAACTCTAATTTGAACAACAATAAAAAAGGAGGTAGTTTATTGAGGGTAACTTGAGATGTAGAAACATTCATATAAATTACATAATCAGATTAAATCTAGTAATATTTCACTTAGGAAATGTTGATATTTCTCATTTCCCGGGTTTAGATTATGTAATGTGCTTTTAGGCAGAATGTGAAATCTCCAACAGGTGTCTCCTTAGGGATAATCTTTACAGAATAACCTGATTACCCCTCACCTTTTCTACATCATTCCTTAGTTGGTTGTGGAGACTAATAGGAAGAGTTCATCATATATCCTCACTTTACTCTCAACTCATCCTCATGTAAAAGTGGGCAGGGTTGGAACATGATCATGCCGTTTCTTCATGATCATTAGACTCTTTTCTACATCCAACTTACCATGTCTTTGTCTAAAGCCCCAGGGACAGACTTGCTTCTTAAGTTTACAGTATCCTCTAAGTCTTCTGTAAATGACCCACTCAAATCTAACTCAGATTGACTTCGGTCTGGAGAAAGGAAGAGAAAAGGGAAGTTATAAATCAGCTTATTTTTTTAGAAGGTTTCATTTCTCATTGTAAACCTTTCATATTTATTCAAATTCTTTCTAGGGATGGGGCATAGTGTTATTGAAGCAACAGTGAGATTCAATAACTTTATGCTATTTATGATAACATACTTCCATTTTAATAGCTTTTGAAATTCCCTTGGACTGAATTACCAACATCAATGTGTTCATTCTTTCTTTGATTATAGGAGATTAAATGCCCTACTATAAAATGCTAATTTTATAGTTTTGCTCCTAGACTTTGAAAAACTTTCAGAGAATGGGCCCTTAAACTTAGAAAAAAATAAAACATTAGCCATTCTTGATTTTAAAATTTAGAGAATTCACAGAAAAGGGAGTGGCTATAGGTAAATTGGGACAAAGTTCTATTTTCTAGGCACCAAAACATTCTTTCAACAGAGGAACATCTTGCTTTTGAAAATGTAAGTTAAAAAACAATAACATTAATCAGTAATGCTGTAGATGGCTTACTAAGACACAGTTTACTTCTACAGAACAGTTCTATATCAAAGCACTGCTAAAATAGATATAGTTGCTTTTAAATGAGAAAGATTTAAGAGAGCAATCAAATAAATTAGCTTGAAATGGCAAATTAAATAATGCAGAAGTACTTAGCATAGTGTCTGACACAGAGTATGTACTCAGTAAACAAGTGTTCAGTAGAAGTAGTAGAAATGCACTCTAGAAAGAATTGAGGGTGGGAGGTAGGGGTGGGTGGGGTGGGAAAAGTGGCAGTGGGAAAATGGAGACAACTGTACTTGAGAAACAATAAAAAAAAAGTTGGCTTCTAGGCTAACTTAAGATTTTTCATTTAATCAGTGAAGCAATTTTATAGTCCTAAACAAAATGCAAGCAACAATAACCATACTCATTTAGAAAACCCTTTGTGAGCTACCTGGCTAGGAGGGAGTCCCCAATTCAGCACACAGAATCCAGATTTAGGCTTTTTGCAAATACCATCATTAGGTCACAAGTAACTTTTTCATGTTGAGGATTTTGTCATGATTTTAAGTCTACACATGGGACATAAACTTCATAATTATGTCCAATTTCTCAGAAGAGTTTCTGTATTCATAGATAATAAAATTGCAAAATAATACTTGTTTCACAGGGTTATTGTGGTAATGAAGTGAAATAATCTATCTGAATGTACCATAAAATGAAAGGGGTTATTATTAATACCTTAATACTACTTGCAAATAATTAATTATTTAAACTATGAAATGATTAATCTGTCTAGATATAGGGCATTGCTGATCACCAAATCATGAAGGGTTAACATTGGAATTTATGTCAGAAATTAGAATTTAAGTTAAACATGCATGCTAAAAATTCTAAGACAATCATTAAAAGAAAGAAACAGTGTATATGCTAAAGTAGGAGAAAGGGAAAAAAATGTAATGGGCTGGGAAGACATCTACCTAGAAGAATGCAATAGAGAAAGAAAGAATAAAACCTAGAACTAAAATGAGGTGAATGGAAGATACAAAGTAAGATGGTAGAATTAAATCCAAGCCTATAGGTAATCAAAATGAATGCAAATGGACAAAACTCAGATAAATTTTATGGTATATAAACTATATTTCAATAAAGCTGTTAATTTAAAAAAGTTAATTTCCTTGAACCCTGGGCAAATGCCCTTTTCTTTCATATTAAATGAGCCAATTATACTCCCTACAGTCTTATACTGACATTTGGTATAGCTTTGAAACTTGGCAGTGATGCCTGGCAAGTGTACACTTAAAACTGGATTTTGCATAAATGTAAGAGGCTCAAGACATCACCTGGGACCACCTTTAAGTAGTTCTCATTGAGTGGGTATACAACCATGTATCAAAAAGAATGGACAATTTTCCTGTAAGGCATGAAGCACCCATTTAATGCCACACAAGAGAGTCAGTTCCACCTGATTTAGTCATTTTATACAACAGAGCAGCCATGTTGTAAATACCCACCTGAGGAGAGGGAGGCCCCAGACACTGCTATGGAAGGTGTGCCAGAAGCATTTCTGCGATGATTCTTTGTGAGGTCCCCAGAGGGGCCTTCGATGGTCACTAAATCCAAAGGATTTTCAAAACCATGTTCCTTCTCACAAAGTAAAAATTAAAAGCCATTATACTGACAATAATTTACTTCAAAATCCTTCCATAGAAATATACTTCAGTATAACCACATTTATGTGTATACTCTTTAGGAGAAGCTAGTTGATATTTGGAGGGTGCTCATAAGGAGTCCACATAATTCTAAAACTTACTTTCAACAATCTATACCAAGAGATTTGTTAATTAGCATAAAAGACATTGGAAATAATTTTTCATTCACAAAATTAGTGAACATTCTATTATATGATTAGCAAGAAAGATGATACAGATATCTTCAACTTATATGAACTATTTAGAAGAATCTGGCAAGCTTCATACCTTCGGAGTGGTACCCTCAGAGTAGGCTTAGAACTCTGGCCCTATGTTTTTCCATACTCTCAACGCTCTCTCTCCTCAACAACCCGTTACCTCCTTCACCCCTATTTAACAGAAGACCATGCCAGGTTTTCCATTTAACAGGCTGAATAATCAGAACATGGTTAGTTACATTGTTATTGGAATGAAACTGTAATGCAAGATACTTGTCAAAGCTCATAAAAGGATAAAAAATGGGGATAAAAAAAGGATAAAAAATTCCGGTTTACAGGAATAGGTGATTTGGGGATGCCTGCTTGCTAATAAATGCTTGTATATGTGGCAGAATTCAGTCTAAGACTTGCTTTCATTGTAACATATAATAAAGGAAAACTGTCCCAAATTTTCCTGGGCCCATAAGGGCTTGACTATTGCATCACTCCAACTTTGCTTGAGCATTAAAAAACTAATTTTGAACTTTTTAGGAACTGGGCAGAGTTTAAATGTCCATGACAATGATACCATATAGTGGGATAATGATCAAACCTAAAAGAAAAATTTCAACCCCCTTTTCCATAAACAATGAAAAAATGCCTTTTAAAGTCCTACAGGAGGAAATCCCTCTTTGCTGCCATATATTTAGCTCATACCTTAGACACTGAGAGAAACTTTGATAAACACTCCAGAGAGATGCAGCTCTCATTTGCTTAGTATGCTAATCAATGCAACTCCAATATAGACTATTTTTGGTCTTTGATTATTTTAAAATACATACTCCCTGTAGCATGAAGAATATAGCTCACAACTAATTGCCATAGACCACCAAATTTTATTAAAAGACTCTGATTGAAATCAAACAGATAAATGAGTTTAGGTCACTTTTCAACACCTCTTCAAAACGTTGTACATACAGAGTCCTGCAATGAAGCAAGACCAACTTCTTTAGTGGCAATTATGTTGACAGAAATTTTTCAATTAGCACTCCGGGAGAATTATTACTATTGAACACTAATTGGCCAATTAATATTGTATGCCAATTAACATGCAATACATACCCTGGAGATTCAGAATATGAAACTTAAAATTAACAAGTTACATTACAGCAGAGGGCAGATTACAGACTTTAATGTTCTAAGAGTTTTCCATTTTAAAAACTTTCTTCTCATATGCTAAAGTAGAAAAGAATATTGAAACTAAGAGATGCAGAGAGATGGGAGAATCTGAGAAGTTATTACCTTTATCATTATTACACTCTCTATACTTCTTCCTTTCATCATGGAAGAGCAAACGTGCTTCTTAAAGTACAATTCTGTCTTATGTTTATTCAACATAAAATATTTCTCTTCGTCTCTCATAGAAAAGACTAGCTAGATCAGCTAGAATGCAGAATTGAGTTCAATACACACAACTACCTAACTATATGTACATACATATACTCAACTCAGTTCCAGGGAATTTCTCTTGGGGAAATCTATGTGCTGTTTAATAAAGAAATAATCATGTCGATGCTGTTAGTTTTGAGGGTATGAGCACATGACAAGGGTAACTTATTTCCCTCAAAAATTGTACTTAAGAAGGTAATCCTTGTTTTGAGAACAAACTTGACTAATTTACTGCTTATTGAACTGACAGTCTATTGCTACACACTGATACAGCTGTCCAGCTGTTAAAATTTTTAAGATTTCTGTATTAGTTGTAAATAGCACTACTCTCAGTCTATCCTCCTCCCTTATGTTCCCCCTCCTCCACAACCCTAGTTTTTCCCATAATCCAGGTAATGCATGACATGTAAGAGCCCTCAAGATACTGCCCCAGACTTGTGCCAGTGGCCTGCTCTCATTGCTCAGTATCCCTGAGACACCAGCTGCTAAATACTTTGACTATCATTCCTTGTTAGGTGGCCAAAGAAATGAGTGTAATCATCAACTACTCATGCCTTTTTCTGGCTATTGAACAGTATTGCTTTCTGACCTAAAAATAAATATTTAAGAAATTTCAAATGTGCTTTTATCTTATCAGCAAGTACAGTTTAGACTACAAGTGTTTAAATGTATCTATTATTATCATTTAATCTGTATGAATGCCTTTTGGCTCTTTCTTAAAAATATCTATAGAATCTGATTGCTCACAGCCTCCACTTGTATCTTCCTGTTCTGAAGCCCAGTTTCTGACATGGTATCCTGGCTTCTACTCTAGTTCCCCTACAGCTGTTTATTAACAGCCCCCAGATCCTGAATAAACAGAAGCCAGATTGTTTCACTCCTCTGCTGAAACCCTCCAACTATCCCCACCTTATCCAGAGAAAATGCCAAAGTGTATACTGTGATCTACAAGGCCCTGTCTGGCCCTATTACCTCTGAACTCATTTCCTAGTACTCCTCCCTTTGTTGACTAACAACAGCCACACAGGCTGTCTTGCTCTTCCTTGAACATACGAGACATGCTCACATCTCATATCTTTATACTGGCTATTCATCCAGGGGCATTAAAGGAATTTTAGACACTGGGTGAGCAAAGACACCAGTTGTTCAAGGAGGCTGACCATAGGTAATTGGAACATCCATCCCGTAATGTACCTGCTGAATATCAGTGCTGTTCCTACCTGGAAGAATTATTTGCCCCAGACTCCTACATGGCTAATTTCTTTACTTCCTTCAAGTCTTTTTGTGACCACGTCTGGCATATATCAGGCCCTCATTAAATATTGACTGACACAAAAACTATAGTTTGTATATAAATGGCTTCCTGTGCAATCAAAAAAATCTAGTAGATGCTCATTCATTGAAAAGAACAGTTTCCAAATTATATATAATATACTATATACACACATATGTTATACAGTTTAAGTCTTCATTATGCATCTACCCCTTATTTTAACAGACGTATAGGAAAAAAACTGGAAAAGGATTTTAAGATTCTACTTTTCCTGATTTAAATCAGTTTGGAAAAATTTTAATGCAGTCAACATCTTGAGAAGTAATATGGAAAATCAAAATAAAAGACTTCTAAAAATTATTTATATTTTATTTAAACCATATATACATTTAAACCCCCATCATACAAATTCTACCTTTGAACCTATTCCTTCCCTTTCCTTCTTACTGTAGGCTTCCTGCCAGGAGGTAAGGATGCAAGAGGTTCAGTCCTGATAAAGAAGCTTCTACCATTAATCATCATAAACAAAGTGCAGTGAGATACAGAGATATGAAATCCAGTCATGCCATGGTAGTGAAGTCAAGTCCCAGAAGCCTAATGTCCCTTCACATTTGTGTACTTACTCTACTGCTGACTGAGGTCATGCTGCGTGTGCTTGGAGCTGGTGACCTCTGAGTGACTGGGGTAATACCACTGCTCTGGCTGCTCTTCAGGGTCTCTGGACCAACTTCATGGTCATTAAGATCTGATGAACCAGTGCTTCCTCTAAATGAGAAAGAATATTCTGAATTAACGTGGAGACAGAATAGCAACCAAAGACAAAATCAGGGAAAAGCTTACAAAAATAAATAATCATAACATGTGAACCACATGAAATACACCAGAGCCACACTGGAAATGGTTATCAACTATCATGGTACCCTACTCCCCAAAGACCTTCTGGGGCTCATTAGGTTCAACCCCATTTGTCTGAATCCAGGGTCTTTATCATTGAGTTTCATCCTACCTTTCCAACTATATTTCCCACTGCTCACCAGCATTCTCCCAATCAGTCCAGGTTCCTTACTCTCCTGTCAACTCACCATGCTCATGGTCATGCTTCCACCTCTAAGGCTTTTGCTGATATTCTCCCCACCTGAATTGCCCTATTTGTCACTCTCTGCTCATACAAATCTTCTCTATACTTCAAGGTTCATGTGAAGCCCAGCCTCCCTTACCAGAACTTTCCTGTCAATCACAGGCCATGCCAACCTCTGCTCTACTTAATTCCTATTGACTTATAGTCTTTGCCAGGCTATGTAGCACTTGACTACACAATGCCTTGTTTAACTCCCTAATGGATCCTTATTATGTGGGCCTGGATGTCTCTTTCAACTGTGAACTCCTTTGGGACAAAGTTCATGACATATTTACCATAATATTCCCAGCTCCTTCATAATGCCTTGCAGCAGAGGAAGCACTCACTACATATTTAATCAAAGACTGGAAATTATATATTATTTCTGTGGTTAGTGACTGACTCATGGTGCACATTTAATAAATGGTATGAAAATAATGCCATTTGATAAGCGGGTTTGACTCACTTTCACGTTTGCTAAAACTGATTCAATTCTATTAAAAAAAGATTAATGAAAAAATAGTTCCTGCCCTTAAGGTAAGCACACATTTTCTCATTAAATGGAGATTCATAAGTTTATATAAGTTTTGACAAATTAGAGTTAAAGAAAGTGTTTGTTCTTATTTTATTTTTTACCCTCAATAAGCACAACATGTGCTGTGGTAAAATATAAGCCCTTATATATTTCACTTTTTCAGTTACTATTTTAATAATTTATAACTGCACCTATAATAATAAATATCTTATTGTAAAAGCACAGTAGTGATATTGATTAGGCCTTACAGTTGAGCCAATCAGAAAAGAGACTTAGAGGAATAAATGAAGTGTGTTTTTTTAAAAAGAATGTCTGAGCCCTAGCTGGTATGGCTCAGAGGCTTGAGTGCTGGCCTGCGAATCAAAGGGTTGCTGGTTCAATTCCCAGTCTAGGGCACATGCCTGGGCTGCTGGCCAGGTCCCCAGTGGGGGGCGCATGAGAGGCAACCACACACTGATGTTTCTTCCTCCTGTCCCCTCTCTCTAAAGACAAATAAATAAAATATTTAAAAAAAATAAAAAGAAAGTCTAACTGTTCATATGTCATTACTAGAAGATAAATCTGGCAGAACAGAGAATTAGCAGTGGCCATCAAAGCTATCAACCACAGCTCATAAGTTTTTTCAAGGCTGTGCATCAGGAAGTTACCAAAATCAAATATGCCCTGACTGATACTATCAGCCACTGCCACCCTCAATAATTATGAAAATAACAGATGCATTTTCTAGATGTAAGACACTATCCATTCACCAAAATCCCTGTTTTAAAAAAGGTATTAACATTTCTGTTTTAAAGATGAAGAAACTAAGTCTTGGGAAGGCTAAACAATTATTCCATGCATACATGCATGTGTGTATGTACACACATGCACACACACATACCACAACCACCACAATGTCACAGAGTTAATACATGACAAAGCCAGGATAAAAACTGACAACTTTCTTCCTACCCAAAGCCTGTGCTCATTCTATTGTAGTTTGTCTGCTGTATTGCTTACTCATCATTTCACCAAGATCAACTTGTTACAACCAAGTAGGTTCTACACTGATAGAGTGAGCTATCAAGAAAAAGATAATCAAAATATAAGAGATCTGGGGTTGGTCTCTTGGAATTTGATTAAAAGAACAATGAAAATTCTTTGGTGGCATTCCTTTGATGCTACATAGAAACAGTCTCTAGCTTCGTCTTTCTAGAGATGTAACTCTGAATAAATTAAAGTACTATGGAGTCTGCTCCAGAGGAAATTTAAGACTGTATCTTTTGATTCTGACAAGAGAATAAAATTTTGTGATTAAGTAGATTAAATAAATTCTAAGTTCTTTGGTAATTTTCCTGAGTCCTACTATCTCAGGCACTACATTTCTACATTTGACAACAGTTAACCATGTTCATACCTTTCCAAGTGATTCTGCTTATCTCACAAGTCCCATTTAGAAGAGACTTAGAGACCTACCCAGTAATGCTGTGTTGTGATTATAGGTTCTCTATTCTCAGGACAATATTACCTCAAAAACATCTCTTCCTATTGTTTTAGGTAAAATCTCCTTCAAAATAAGAAGGGATAGGAGTGAATCTTGTAGAAATGAGCCAAAAAGTTATGACCCAAAGGGACGCATGTGGACATTTCTGCTTGTGTTTGTGCCGAAGTTTCTCTCTAACCCAAGTGGGTTTGAAAAAGTCCCCATATGGATTAGCCTTACTAGAATCAAAAGAGCTACTTATGTAGAAGCTCTGGCAGATGTTGACTAATTGTGATGTTGACATTCAAAAGGCTATCTGTAATGAGGAAAAATTCTTGAGATTATAAGTCAGCTACTGGAAAATATTCTTGCCAGAAGCATTATCTCAAAAATGGCATATACTTTCACATTTGTCTCTGACATTTATTCTGAGCTCGTAAAAATTATTTTCCTCTGAGTTGGCTGTTTCAGTTGATTAAACTAAAAAAGATTTAATGTAATGGGCCAGAATATCATAAATATTTGGGTGACAAATCTTTTAAATGTAATGTAAAATGTGACATAAACAAATCTTTGCAACTTAAATAAGTTTCATAAAGTCAAAATTAGAGAATTTTAAACTTCAATGAAGAAAGAGCAATTTTTAAAAAAATACTAACCTGAAGATATGTTTACTCATTTTTTGGAGAGGAAGGAAGGAAGGGAGGGAGGGAGGGAGAAAAGGAGGGTTGGAGAGAGAGGAAGAGAGAGAGCGAGAAAGAGAACGAGATCAATGAAATATTGATGTGTGAGAGAAACAGGATTGGTTGCCTCCTGCATGTACCCTGATTGGAGATCAAGTTCACAACCTTTTGGTGTACCAGACGATGCTCCAACCAACTGAGCCACCCAGCCAGAGCAAGAAAGAGCTATTTTAGATTCAGATATCATGCTTATTCATATTTTAATTAGAAATATTAGAAATCATTGCCAACAAAACTTCAAGTTAAAATTTATTTAAGGAGTAACTGGCAAGAAAGATACACATTTATTTTGTTCTAATAGAGCCCAAACTATGGGGATATGACACTGTCTGGGGAGTTTAGATATTCTGGGTTACTTGAAAGACACATTTCCGAGAGCAGAAAAGGGTCTCATTTACTTTAGCTTATAAAATATACTTTAAAAGCCTTTTGTTTTATCTCTAATTTCATGCTGGCCCGAAACCTTGATAATGGCTTCCTAGATATATCTATTTCCAGATAAAGGATCCAAGGATAGAGAACAGAGAGTATAATTTAATGAGTTGCCTTTTAGTTTATATAATGGTTTCCCAGGAGTTGTAGTCTGGAAAGAATTTTCTAGGATCCAACCTCCCCATAGTGGGCTGACAATGTTGAACTTGTGCCTGCATACTTAAATGAGTGTTCCTCTAATAAAGATCAGAAAAAGGCAGCATTAACCTGAGAGATACTAACATTCACTGGGACAATGAGGCCAGTGCATAGCATGACAGAGACTGTATGATATTCTTGTGGTTTACGGGCTTTCCTAACTTTAATTATTTCAGACATGAAGTGACTATGTAGGAAAGACGAGCAAGAAAGTTGTAGTTAAAAAGTGAGACAAGCCTGTTAAATGGGAAAGAGCTGTCAAAAATGAGAAAGAAAAGGAAAGAAAGTTGAACATAGCTCAACCTTCCATTCATGAGGGAGGGAGGTGGGGGAGGGGGGCAGGGGAAAGTGGCGGTGGGAAGGTGGAGACAAAGGTATTTCAACAAAAAATAAAAAATAAAATAAAATAAAATAAAACATGAAGAGAAAAAAAACACAAAAATGCTATGTCTTTGTCAACAGTCTTATGGGGGATTGGTGGCATTCACCCTTGGCTGCACATCAGAAACACAGGGAGAGAGTTTTAAAATCCCCATGTTCAGGCTATACCCAAGATTAATTGCATCAGACTCTCTGGGCATAAGATCAAGGCATCAACATGTTTTACATCCCTCCCATTCTAATATGCAGCCAACGTTGGAAACACTGAGATAAACTGTGGATTAGTTTAAATTCATTGATCTCAGATATCTCACCATTTGCATTGCCCCCTCATCTCATACCATTATTTTCTTTATTAAACATGGTGCCTACATCAAGAGAACTGAGCTATTCTAATGACTCAGAAGGTGATAAATAGAAGGACAATTCCTGTATTAGTGAGTGCATGTGTTGCACCGGGGGTCAGCAAACCATGCCACATGGATTGCATTGAGCACACTACCTGTTTTTGTACAGCCCATGAGCTGAGTGTTTTTTTAAATAATTTTAAGTGGTTGAAAAAGTAACAAGAAAAATATGTTGGGATATGTGAAAATTTATGTGAAATTCAAATTTCAGTGCCCATAAGTAAATTTTGATTTAAACAAGCATGCTCATTAATTTATGTATTGTCTATAGCTGCTTTCATGCTCCAATAGTAGAATGGGGTAGTTGAGAAAGAGACTATATGGGCCACAAAGCCAAAAATATTACTCTCTATACCTTTAGAGAATAAGTGTGTTGATCCCTGCGTGTGTGCTCATGCACACAGGCAGACAAACACATAGGTATAGGTTTCTAATTTTTAAAAAATGAAACTCTTTGGAGAAGTCAACACATCCCAAAGGAATGAATTTT